CCTTAAATTTTGTTATTTCTTATAACCCCTCTAGTTGCAAAACGATGTACCTAGGTATATTGCAATCCAAAACTATAGTCATTTTTTTATTAATAATTTAAGGGGTGATAATATTGGTAAAGTTCTCTTATTTGTATTTAATTCGTTAATTTTGTCATTTGGGTGTATCCTGTGCTGATGTTTTTGTAGTAAAAACTTTCTAGTAAATGCTAATGGGCATGCATTACATTTAAATGGTCGATCACCAGTATGTACAAGAATATGTCGTTTTAAATCAGTTGACCACCCAAAAGTCCTCTCACAGTAAGAGCATATATATTTTTTTCGTTTTTTAATTACTTTGGAACAATGAGAACTATTGTTCTTTGCTGAACTTTTTGAATTGACGTTCGAACAGTTTTCTGTCTTTGATGAGCTTTTTGGTTTACTATCCTCTGCTTCTGAAATAGTTACCTCACAATAATTCAACGGATTAACAAAATCCTCTATACCAGAATCCACAGTGTCTTCTTCTTTGGCAATATTTTGTAGCATTTGCTTAACATTGGCACTCAGTGGTAATTCCGATTTCCTTATTTTTTGAATAGGATACAAATCTGGTATCTTTGTTACATTACTTTTTCTTGTTTGGCGTTGCTGACTACCCTCATGGTTACCATAGTCTAAAGGCTCTTTAACGTGTAAGGCAAAATGTTTTAATAGTTGAGATGCTGATGAGAATGATTCTCCACATTCTGAACATGACAAATCTGTAAAACATCAAATAAAAAACGGCAAACAGTAAATGATTGAAATTTACCACTAAACGACATCATTTGTTGAAATGGTTCAGAAATTATTTACATTAATGGTTATCACTTATCACCTACTCTAATTTCCTACACATATACATTCTAAAATCCAAAATACTTGAGCACTTTAAAAAATCTAATAATAGGATAAGTTGTTTAAATTATAAGAACACTTTATCATTTTTAAATACCCTTTTCAGTCTAAAATTTTTCTAACCCAAATAAATTAAAAACCTCAAAAAATCATTATATGTTTGATTGTTATACGTAGCATACCTAGGTTACATTGTTATATGTACATACACTTTTTAGATGTACATAAAATATAAATTGGCGACAACCCCAGTTTCTTTTTATTAATTTATAAACAAGGTAAACATAAAAATGTGTAGGTTTGATTAATATAAGTGAATACGTTTAGATTTCCACTGATCTACATTCATAATATGTTCATTACGTTTTATAGTTATCCGGTTATCACATGTTATTAATAGTCATTAATAATGCTATAAGTATATATACCTATATGTATACATTTTACACTAATATTTTGTTTTTTTTAATATGCGATAGGGTAATATGCAGATTAGCTTTTAAAATTCACATAAATAAATAGAAATATTTCTTCCACGCGATATGAATGGTCACTAGCAGTTGTTTTTATACCATAAATATATCAATAGTAGAAATACTTTCAATAATAATAATCTCAGGAATAACAAAACATTTTTATTTAAATTTCAAGTAAAAGTGATTTATGTATGCTTGAATGCACGTCTAATTTATATCACCTATTTAATTATTATCGTTTGATAAAGTTCTTACCTAATTAATAAATTAATATTTACTTATTCGTTTATCACTGTATGCCTATTTGGAAATTGATTTTTTTAATTGCTTAAAACCAAAACATTTCATACTCAAAGGAAATAGCTACTGACTCATTAATGTTTCTTTTATACTAATGAAATGATTTTAAAAATAATCAAAATTATTAAAATGTATACCAATATTGTTATTGGAGAGTATACTTCTTAAATGATTTAATATTTACTAATTAAAAAAATTAATTATGTTTAGGTACTTAAATTCTAAAACGAAATTGCGTTGAAATTAATGTCTCATGTGCCTACCTATTCCTGTGTATATAAATGTTTATTATATAAAATATTTAGTACTTTCAGTTATGGAATCAAAGCTAGATTAAGGGTTGTACACGTGTATTAATTACGAAACCGACGTTTCACCTTCAATTTCAGGACTCCGTCAGGATAGATTTTTCTAATTATTTATTAGTAATTAATCTCAACTAATTAATAACTACAAAAACCTATCCTGAGGAAGAACAATAACAGGAGGCGAAACGTCGGTTTTTGTGATTAATAAAAGTATACAATCCTTATTGTGGCTCTGATTCCATAACTGTAATTCTCTCGAAAAGAAATAATTGTATCTATTTATTACTTTATTTATATAAATCGATAATATACAATCAAAACTTTCAAATAATTACTTTCGAATAATCGCACAGTTTAACTTTCGTTTATGCATCCAATCATAGTTTGATTTTTGAAGCCATCTTGGATTTTGCCATTAGTAATCTTACACATTATCGACAAAACAGTAAAACTGAGCTTTACGATATTAAAAAAATAAGGTTCAAATTGTGAATATCAAAAAAATATTGACAATTTATATTCATTTAAAAATTACAGAACAAAATGGTTGCAGTTTTGGAATTCGTCGCCATTTACAAATCAAAATTGAATTCAAGATGGCGATACAACGTGAAACCGTTCAAAAGCCAGTGTCTAGAAATTATTTAAAGAATTAATATGAGTGTACTTATTTTGATAATATGAAGGGACTGGTGCGTGTTTATAAATTTTAATGGTTTATTTGAAGACATTGAATATTTTTTTGCAACATAACATAGTGCGGAAGAATATTTCTTATTCCAACAGTACCTCTCTACGTAAACATTCATGTGTACATGGGAGTTGCATTTAAATGCTTTTTTGTGGTTGTCAGACATAAAAATGTAAGTAGTCTTTCTTATTAATCACTGAAGGTTATTGTTATTAAAATACCACTTTGCCGTATAACGCAATTGGTACTTTATTCAATAAACGGAAATTTGTAAAATGATTAGGAATTTTTACATATAATCTCCATTTTGCATTGCGCACGCATCAGTTAGATAGGTAATGTTCGTCTTGTTGAACTGCTAGAAATCAACTTGCCGGTTTGATTTCAGGATCATTTCGTTTCAACGATCTTATATAAAATTAGTATTTTAATAATTACAATGTTATATATCATCATATAATATTACTTTTTTGTGTAATGCTCATTAGATATGAAATAACATTAAATGTATAGAAAAATTAAAAGGTTAAAATGTCAGTAATTTAAAGTGATTAAAATTTGCTATATTAGTTCATTGAAGACTGCAACTTTTTATTAGGCAAGTATGAAATTGTCTTGAGATATTTTTTATCTCAGCAATTACAATTTTTGTTATAAATTTTGTATTTTTTTAATATTGAGTATATTTTAAAATAAAAGATAGATAGTAATAGTGTCACTACTTTTTGCTTTATACTTCTGCAGATGGTGATTGATAAATCTTGTAATTTTACCTTTTTTATTAGTAGTACCTAAGCTGTTTATTTTCTTGAATGATTAGGGGATTATTATGGTTATTTTTACATTGTTGGATTTTAAAGATTTTAATTTTATAATCTGAAAATTCGTGCAACTATAAGTATAAAAATTTACTATGAGTTTAGGATAGTTGTAACTAAAGATGCTTTAAGCAATCAGTGACCACGTGATTTATATTTTAATAATTTATACTACATAAAGTATTATTAATTTTTCTTTTTAAACAGGGCTTTAAATATTAAAGTGCATTTTCCTTGTTAGTAAATCGGAACTCTTGTACAACGCAAAAATGTAGAGCAAATGCAAATAATTTCAGATTTCAGGTTAATTTCATTGAACTCCATCTTTACAATTTACTTTG